TAAGAGAAAATTTTATGTAATAATTTTTAGTAATATATACCATTAATTGAACAAAAATAAAAAATAGACCAATGTGATTTATGCATTATTAATGATAAATGGATTTAATTTTTTACGTAAATTAAGAAATTTTATAAAATATAATATATTTTTATCTATTTAACTTCACATAAATATATGATAGGTTTAATAGATTAAGATAAGATTGATATAATTTGAGAAAGTATATTTAACAGAATAAGAAAGTCTAACTATGAAGAAATCGAATGCCTAAAAATTTCTACTTTTGATGTCTCTTAGAATCAATTTAGTTTTTTTCTTTATTGGATTAGTTAATTAGTTCATTCAAATAATTTAATTTCAATTGTTCAAATAAAATTAAAATTAGTTAATTTTGAAACATAATTAGTTTACGATCTATATAAATAATACTTAATTTTTATTATTATATTATTTAAATTAACTAACACTGTTGTCAAAGTAAAATTAGCTCATCAACATCGTCACCATATCTAAGTATGGATATAAGTTATTCACCATGGTTTGGATGCCGCACTTCTTGTTAGGCAAGCTCTTTCTCAAGGATTAATAACCATCAAAGGCATCAATTGTAGTCTCTTCTAGTGGGGAATGAGATTCACCAGTAAGCAATATTGTAATAAATGTATCTAGTTAAGTGTTCAAATTCAACTTAAGAAGTTCTTGAAAAGAGATAGATAACCAGATATTTTATTTGATGAAAAGTTAACTAAATCATGTCTTAACGACCTGCCTCTATGCTAGAATAAGAAATAGAAGGTTCTCTAGAGTTAACTAATGGTGTAGGTACACGATACATAGGTACAGGCATTTTTGCAGGAAGATTTGGCATTGTTGTCTCAAACTTTAAAACCTGAATTGCTAGCCGAATTGATGGCCTTAAGCTACTATCAGGGTGAGAGCACCACATTCCAACAATCATCAAACATTCGGCTTGTTTCTCATCAAAATCCTTCCTCACTCTCTCATCAACACCGGAATGAAGTCTTCCTTTCCCGTAAAGATCCCAAACCCACTCCACCAATCCCAAATCAGACTCTTCCCCCATTCGATCTGTAGATTTTCTTCCAGTAGCAATCTCTAATATCACCACCCCAAAACTAAACACATCTGACTCTTTACTTGCCTTCCTTGTACTTATGTATTCTGGAGCCAAGTAGCCAAAAGTACCTGCCAACCCTGTTGTAATTCGACCTAACTCATGGTTCATCAACTTAGCCAACCCAAAGTCACCAAGCTTAACATTAAAACTGGAATCCAACATTACATTACTGGACTTAATATCCCTATGCACCACACACTGCTCCCACTCTTCGTGAAGATACAGAATTGCTGAGGCCAATCCAAGTGTTATTCTATACCTTATATGCCAAGGAAAAGGACTTTTTTTGCCGAAGAGATGAGAATCAAGACTACCATTTGACATGAACTCGTAAACAAGCAAGAACTCGCTCCTTTCATGACACCAACCAATAAGCTGCACCAAATTTCGATGCCTTAACTGACTAATGGTCTTCACCTCTGTTACATACTCCTTTCTTCCTTGTTTTGATCCTTTAGAAATTTTCTTTACAGCAATCAACATGTCTACATCGGCTAGATAGCCTCTATAAACTGCACCAAAACCTCCTTCACCCAATTTCCTATCTTGAGAGAAATCGTTAGTAGCAGAGGCAAGATCTTGGTATGAAAACCTTCGCGGTCCGGTGCCTATCTCAAAATCATCATTGATAGATGTTAAATTTGTTACCTCTGCCCTTTTATTTACCTTCTTTCTTTGCCTTATAATCACATATGCTAAAAGTGTTCCAATGAGAAGAACAATCACCAGTACTGCAATAGCAACAACTATTTTGATCTTTCTTGATGAATTCTCATTGGCTTCCTTAGCATCCAAACTTGAATTGAATTTCCAAGATTTGAGTGTGTGTTGTCCAGCTACACCTCCTGTAGAAGCTGAAAAGCCTATTGTCACCCAATCGTCTGAAACATTCCTTAAATCAACTAGG